ACTATATTACAAACAAGCCAGACAGGTAGTAACACCGGGGTCCAGTCATTTAAAAATTCGCTTCGATCTTTTATAAGCTTGAAAAAGATGTAAGTAATAGCCAAGTTATTAATCAATGATGATCAAAGAGATAAAGGAAAAATATTTTATATACTTTCGTGCACTTCAATGCATGCTAACTGCTGACTGCACGATGCATTCTCATCTTGCACTTATTCATGCAGTTTCAATTCTGTCAATACATTACCTATTGCAAACCTGAATATCATCTAAGCTTTCTCCTTCTAAATCATGAATTACTGGTTGTTTACAGTAATCTATGAATCATTCAACAGTACCGCAATTTAGTATTTTTCTAGCAATCGTTAGTCTGAATTACGAATTCTTCCAGTCTTTTTTCTACAAAAAAAGAAGAAAGCATAGAATAACTACTGAAATTTGAAAGGACTCATTATTATGCTAAATAGTTTTCCATTCTTCAAGAAGAACAATTCACTGTCTAAAAAAGTATGATAGAATGTTTGGAAAATAAATCATAAATTTGAACATAAAGTTACTAACATTTGTTCATTTAATTAAGAAATAATAATTGAATTGTTTAAAATTTTAACTTCTTATGCTATATTTCATAAAATATTTAATTAGTTTGTTCACCAATTAAACATCGATTTTAATAGTTCTATTCATTATAGGGTCATTTGATCATTTCATTGAAATATATATAAGGTCATTTTGCTGTTTGCTCAATTTTGGATTGGTCGTAAATAACATCAATGAAAACTATATGTCGTTGCTAGCAGTATGTCATCTTGCAGTGATAAGTGCAAAAAATAAACGCTTATCACTTCAAATTAACGAAGGAAAAATCAAGCTAATAACTGATATCCATGTAATCACCCATTATCACTTTTAATTTGCTTCCCGGGAATAATCAACCTCTTCCTAGAAGTCATTTATATTCAATTGTTAGTGATGTAAATAATGAATGGATTGGTAAGTAGAAAATATAAGAAAAAATATTTGTCTTTGAAGTATGCACCTTTCTTGCTCACTTTGTAATACTCTCAAAAGATTATATATGATTTCAAAAAAAAAAAAAATGGATGTAAGATATTAATTTGATCGTTCATTACATAACACTTTGTATTGAAATTAATTAATTGAAAGTTTTCACTGATGCAAAAAATTTTTCAACAATTCTGGCTAACATTACTTCCCATTAATTAGACTATCAGCTTTTACTAAAATATGTTTTTTCAGTGTTAAAAATTAAAATTAATTAATGTTATAAACGAATTTTGAATTTATTTGACATTTTTCCTATGAATGCATTTTCATCAGATATGTGGGCAAATCATCCGATCTGACTTGCCCACATTTTAGTGATGTCACTTTTAAAATTAATGCAAAAAATCCACAAAAATTTCACTTTATAATACTTAGAAATGATAAAATTTATAAAAAAAAATTTTTAAACAATTGATCTTTTCAATGTTGACATATTACAGTCGCTTTTAAACAACGACGACCCAAAAAATGACATGACAAGTGAGTGCCACATTATACTTACTGCAGATAAGAGTTGTCACTAACAAAGTGACAAATAACCCCGATAACTAACCATTTAAAGGTTGACTGTTGCCCCCCAAATTCTGCCAAATCTTATTTTGAAAAAGATGTGAGTAATAGCCAAGTTACTAATCAATGACGATCAGAGAGATAAAGGAAAAATATTTCATGCACTTTGAATGCACGCTAACTGTGCTGACTGCACGATGCAATCTCATCTTGCAGTTTCAGTTTTGTCAGTAAATCTTCTATTGCAAATTATTTTGAATAATACAGGAAATGATGAAGAATTGAGTGCTGCTATTTGAACAATTTCAAATTATCAGCTCATTTTGTTGATCTGATTTCTTTGAATTATTAATAATTATCAAAATTTCTAACTATTCCATCTAACATTGCTTGTTTCAGTAGTATTAAGAAAAAAGACAGAAAAAGATGAAAAAAAAAAGTGTTTTTATATACCTCTCTTAAATTTAATTTTTATCACATTTTTTTACCTCTTATTTAATTTTTCACCTCAATTCCTATCAAAATCTCGAAACCTATTAAACTGCATATCAATTGTATAGCTATTAAGTAGTTATATGGAATATCGACTTATTTATCTAATTTTAGTATAAAACAGACTTAATCACTTGTTTATTTTTCATTGAAAACAAATGTTCTTAGAACTAAAATAGTATTTATCATTAATATTATCATTTGATTTTGATAATTCGATAATAATGTTTATAATCAGTGCAACATTGAGCGAGCAAAAAAAAAATTTGTATTTTACCGAAATGGTCTTATAGCTTTGAGCAAACAGCAAATTGCAAATATTTTAAATCCAATATTTATAATAATTTTTGCTTTACCGAAATGATTTAATAGCTTTACAATCTAATTGCCTTACAGTAAATAAACAAATTAATTATTTATCAAAATATAACATTACAAGTAAAAATTTTAAACCATCCAATCGTTCGTTCTTAATTTATTGAATTAAAACCATATTTCCAAATTTATACTCTTTTCGTAATTTTTCGCCATATTTTCTTGGACAATGAATTCTTCTTGCAGAGCGGTAAATCGGTTAAATAGTGTGGAAGGTTTCTTGCACAAAATAATGTTTACAATATTTTTAGGTAATTCATTATGCAATTACTAATTAGAAATTTGTCAAATTTATTAAAAAATGAGTCTACTTTAGATTCAATGCTGGCATAATTGATCGATACATTCTGTTGCCCGTTGAGGGCAACTTTCCCAAAAAATGATGGAGCGGATAACCGCCAGAAATTTTGCTACTCTTAGATACGGACGAACATACTTACCTAACAATCGGGCCAATCATTCGTTGAGAAGGGTTAAACAAACCAACGAGTAGCTGCAAATTATCCGTTTATATCGTATTTTTCTTCACTTTAATATCATGGTGATGACAGTGATAAGCAGATTATAATTAGTGATAAGAAAGAAAGATTAGGGCAAAAATATATTTACCAACATGCAGTGTGCATGTAATGCATGCTGACTGCTAACTATACATGCAGTGTGCATGTAATGCATGCTGACTGCTGACTGCACATGCAGTGTGCATGTCATGCATGCTGACTGCTAGCTGCACATGCAGTGTGCATGTAATGCATGCTGACTGCTAACTATACATGCAGTGTGCATGTAATGCATGCTGACTGCTGACTGCACATGCAGTGTGCATGTCATGCATGCTGACTGCTAGCTGCACATGCAGTGTGCATGTAATGCATGCTGACTGCTAACTGTACATGCAGTGTGCATGTAATGCATGCTGACTGCTAACTGTACATGCAGTGTGCATGTCATGCATGCTGACTGCTAACTGCACATGCAGTGTGCATGTCATGCATGCTGACTGCTAGCTGCACATGCAGTGTGCATGTAATGCATGCTGACTGCTAACTGTACATGCAGTGTGCATGTCATGCATGCTGACTGCTAACTGCACATGCAGTGTGCATGTAATGCATGCTAACTACTAACTGCACATTCAGTGTGCATGTAATGCATGCTAACTGTTCTTGCATCTTGCATTTATTCATGTAATTTTAATTTTGCTCAAATGCAGGTAGAAGATAATGATGGATTTAATATTTATTTAATCTTATCATCTCGAATCTCGAAAGTCTGATGTGATTTTCTAACAATTTGAGCAATGCAAAGATTAGTTAGTATTAATTTCAGTTTTAAATGGAGTTCATTTTATTGTCAATTAGTTTAATGCGATAATTATATAAAGTTTTCATTGTTTTCTATTATTTCTTATTTAATTTATAAATAGTAATTTCTTTTTTTCTAGCTGGAATATTCCACTATCTGTGTTGATCAAATTAATTTAAATCAGATTAATTGATAATTTATTCAATGCATGGAAAAAAAAAGAACGAAATAATGTTGTGGAAGAAAATGATAATTAAATAAATACAAAAGTTTTCGATTCAATTTAGAACTCTGATTGTTTAAACTATTACTAATACCTTTGCCAGCAATAAATATAATTAAACAATTATTTTATCAAAATAATTAAAAGGAATCAAATTGACCTTTGAAAAAAGGTCTCGAAATGAAGTAATTTATCAATTGTTGTTTTTTTATTTTAATCCTAAAATAATTTTTGAAATCCAGATTTAAATTTGATTCTTGAAAAATTGTTATTCGCTATTTTAGAATTTTTTGAAACACAAAAAAAAGCATTTCAAATAAATGAAACAATCAATTGTTTTCAAAATGCCTATAGCGAAAATATTCCAACAGCAAAATTAGCAGCGAATGTATCAAATCAAAGTGGGTATTTGAAGTTTTTCATAAAATTAACATTAAAATCAAGCAGATACATCATTGATAGCAATGGAATTTTGCTTTGTTTTTTTTTTTTCGTTTTTTCAAAACATTTTATTTTATATCAGTGCAATTCCAAATAAAAAATTCATTTTCCATTAGTATTATTTGCCTTATATATTTTCATAAATATATTTTGAATGTGGCAAATTCATTTATTCATTTCATTCTTTAAAATTATTTTGGTTGTTCATTCATGTAATCCCTATATTTATTTCTTGTATGTTATTAATTTTGTTATTAAACTATTAATTCCATTAAACTGAATAGGCAAATTTAATAAATATTCTAGCGTCAAAAAACCATCATTAATAAATCAAAAATAATTATGAGTACAGAGAACAGTATGTCAATTCATCAGTCAATAAATAATTTTTATAATAATGAAATAACAATTATCTCACTTAAAACTTGTTATTTTTTTTCAATTAATTAACTTGTATTTAAATGAACTATAATTAGTCTTCCTTTTTGCTAAATTAAATTTATGTTAATTTTATCTATATTTTAATTTCAGTGTCATTTTGTAATTATTGTTCAATATGAGAGTGAGCAGTTGTCACATTTGGTTGATGATAATCGCAACATGGCTAACATTGCCCTCTAGTGATGTATGTTTATTCAAAAATCTTTTTTCAATTGTTAATTTTATTCTTAATTTCAACTGTTAGTAAATTGAAATTATGTTAATAATCATTTTAGTAAAATTTCATTTGTTATTGAAATTTATTAGAATAAGATTAAAATGGAATTTTTGGAAATTTTTTTAAAAAAAAAACAAATTTAAACTTTAGCGGAAATATTTCTAGGAAATTGAATCGATTCATCTTAAAACGCCTTCATTAGATAGAAAAATTTGTGAGGTGCGCACAATGGTTGTAACAAATAGTAGTGAAGGAACTGGTGAAAATAAAGTATTTATTCAACGTACTAACAAAAAGTTTAAAAAAATATCTGTGAGTATTTTGAATGCCAATATTTCATTCATTTGAATTTGACAAAAAATTTTGCATTGTATTTATTATTTCCATTCTTTTTTTTTTCTCATTTTACATAATGATAAAAATATTTACTTCAGTTTAGTATTTGTCGAATTGTTCGCTGATTGTTAACACTTTTAAGTCATCTGAAATCTAATGAAGATAATTACAAAGTAATCTGAAATTTGAAATGTTTGAATCTCTGAAAATAGTAATTAATATGCAAAAAAAAAAAAATGGAAAATGATAAAATTAATCCTAAATGTAATAAAAATGACGACCGATCCGTTATCTTTGAACTAAAAATATTAATTATTTGTAAATACAAAACGAATAACTGTTAATAAATGATTTTAGCAGAGATCATTTCTTAAATTTAATGGTAGGACATGGTGTATGCCGATAATGTTAAATGAAGCATATTACAATTACCATCTTACTAATTTGTAAAAACATTTAGGAAAAATCTTATAAAATTGTAATATAATTCGTCATGTAAGTCAAATGTAAGAAAAATATAGAATTGCTTATAAAAACATAAAATGTAATTCTAAAATTTTGGTTCCCACTTGCAAAATTATGAATTACTCATTAATCATTTCAAATTATATTTAAACCTTTCTATGTCTTTTTAAATCTAATAGTGGTGGACATTCAGGATTTTATCATTTATTGTTAATTTTAACATGAAATAACTGGAAATTACTTTTTCCTATTTAAGCAATTTGTTACCAACAATAAAAATTTGTGATATTTTTGCAGTTACTTTTCAGATCATAGCAATTGTTTTCAAAACACAGAGAGCATTCAAAATAAAAGTGAGCTTCTAACAGTTTTTTATAAAGTTAAATTTAATAAATGAAATAATTCTCCATTAGTAATATAATTAAGTTTATGTTATTTTAATATGCGAATTCATTCTTCTGCTCAGTTCACGGATACATTTATTATTGAAATTTAAAACTTAAAACTAGTATTATTTGAAATAGATAATGCTTTTTGGGTGGCAAAATGATAATTTTAATGCCAATTTATATTCAAACTTGAACAAATTGAAATTCCACGTGAATACTGCATGCATTTAGCAATCATTTCTCACACACAAAAAAAAAAAACTTTTTTTCTGTAGAGGAGTATAAAATGTTAAAATTACGAATTATCAAAATTATTACAACGAAAACACTGGTTTCTTCTTATGTATTAACTGTTTTCGATAAAATTTATTTTATCTCTTATTAATCACATTTTGAAATAATAATAATTAATAACAATGACAACCTATTATTATTGCGTGTATTATTAATCTTTCATATTTCTTATAATCAATTATTAATGAGAAAAAAGAGACAAAAACAATTTTACAGTGCTCTGTCCACCATTTGCTTAGCTCATTTTATTCTCGAAAAGAAGTGTTTGACAGGAGATCTCAGCGCTCCGTCAATGATTGCTACATTTAACTTTTAATAGGCAATAAAAAAAAAAAGATATTTCGACCGAATTTTTTTCCTGAAAATTTTACTTTCTTTGTAGAAATATTTAAAACATGAGAAAATAAACAAAGATGAATTCTTGTAATAACTGACCAAGAGATGGCTTTATCTGATTACTTGTCTAAATGAGATCGAAAGAATTTCAGTTTCTGCTGCATCATCATTGAATTTCATAAGCCAGAATCGAATAATTGCTTGAATAGCTTCACGGATTCATACAAAGTCTGGCTGATTTGAGAGAATATCTATTTGTCTGGAACAAATTCAATTGATCCTTTCGATAAATTTTCACAAAAGAATATTAAATAATTATGAGTAAGCTGAAGAACATTAGATAAGGTTTGTTGGCTATGAGGTTTCTGAAAATCCTGATTCTTTTCAGTAATATTAACAGAAATCAAAAAATCAGATTAGCTATATAAGGATGATTTCGAGATTGTGATATGATAAGTGGCATATATTTCAGTCGTTAATGTTACCGTTACTGTCATAAATTGAAAGACAAAAAAAGAAATATGTACCCATTTAAAATTTTATTAAAATTTTGTTAGTAGTAAAAATAATTTACTGACAATGACGGCAATAATAAAGGTTGAAAAGAATATAGGCATCTTGAATATTAAATAGACAAATGGAAATGGGTAAGGCAACATGGAAAAAGCAAAGTATATTCAAAATTTCTTGCTGTCTTAGATGTACCGACATTTCAAAATTTAGAATTAAGATAACATAGGAATGTCATAGGCAAGTAACAAATAATAGCTGAATTAAGAAATAAAAAATCAATGTATTAATAATTATCAGCGGATTTAAAAGTAATTCAAGTTGCTTTCAGCATAACGGTGAATACTTGGTTGCATATTTGGTCTAAATAGAAATTGATAGTAGCAGACTCACCGGGATAATTGCTAATACCGAAATAAGTAAAACTCCACGCAGAATCGTTCTCGAATACCATAAGCGACCATAAGCGAAATTAATTTTTGAAATCGTTGGACGCTTTTCACCACATGAACAGCTTGCAGCTAAGCACATCATAATGCCTAAATTCGAAACCCAACAATATTTGAATACCACTTCTTATATGCTGGAATGCAGATCAACAATAAATAAATAAGAGGTTAGAAATGCTTCAAACATTGAGTGGTTTTATTCTCGATCTAACTCTAAAAGAATGCTGAAAAAGAGAAAGAGAGAAAAAAGCTTTTTTTTGTATAGAAGAGTGCTCATATAGATTACTTAGTTATACAGATTACGTGACAGTCTGTGTAGATCGTTGTCAGAGCTCTCATAAGTCATAACTCTCTCTCTAAGGATCAAACGAATGATAGAATCATCATTAATGTATTTGCATATTTGCACTTAACCCTTTTCCTATGATATTCTTTTCTATCGCGTTATTATTATTTTTTGTTTAATTAATGAACTTTGAACTAATTATTGCTTATTTCAGATTGCTTTCAAGAATGCTTGCTGCGAATGGAGATGGCCCGGCAGTGCCGGGAATATCTGACGTTCTCCGCTATTTGGAGAACGAACCTGTAATGCTCCATGCATTACAGGAGTTTATAAATATGACGCAGCAGGTAAGTATCTCATTTTTCATTTTATTTATTTATTCATTTTTCACAAATTGATTTATGGTCTTTATCCTTGGTGTTGGTACTTTATTGCAGTAGCGATGTCATCATCTGTTTTTATGAGTACTGGAAATAATGATAATAATAATCATTGTATGTTTTTTCAGCGTGATAGCCTGCTGAATGCCCGCTTGACCGAGGTAGAAAGACGACTGGCGGGATATGAAGGGCGAAACGCCCAACAAGAAGTGGAAGTAGAAGAAATGGAGGAGGGACCGGCACCTCAGGAGCCGGAATTTAATATAGAAGAAGCAGAGTGGGCACCTCTGCCGGAAAGTGACGATGAAGCCGATTGGCTAGCGGAAGCAGAGCGTGCCCCTCTGCCAGATAGCAGCGAAGAAAGCCCTGAGGTGCCGGTGGCACCGGTGGAGGCAAGTGGTGTTGAGGAACCGGAGGAGGAAATTCGAGAGATCGTCCTGTAAGCTTTAATTTAATATATTGAAAAGAAATTAAAGCAAAATTAATTTTGCCAGTCACACAAAATGGATAAATCAGATTAAATTAAAATTTGTTTTAGAAGATCAAGGACGATAAGAATTGCGGTTCCAGCCACGAACACGGCGTTGGCTGCGGCGATACCGGAAGCATTCCGCCCCGCAGATCTAGGGGACCTTCCGGTACAGCTCCGAAGAGAGCTGGAAACACCGCAGGCGGAGCCGTACACGGTGATTCGGGCAGAAGGAAGTACCAGCATCGGTAATTTTTTTAATTTTAGTATTGCTTTTATCAATTAAATAAATACAAAAATTCTATACTGATGGATAATCAGCTCTGTCTATGCAAATAATTTTTTTCTGTTTTCAGTGTGCGGCATCTGCAACAGGCAGTTTGGGTCACTGAAAGGGTGGCGCATCCACACGTCGAGGATGCATAAGCAGGATGGTAAGTACTTTACAGCAATATTCTTAGTTATACATTTGGCTTGGTAAAAAAAATATCAAATTCATTAACTATGTATATTACAGGTTTCTGTGCCCGTTGTGGGCATTATCTCCTGCTTCCACCCAACTTTACGGCTGCGCAGAAGACTGCAGCATTGGAATTACATGCCCTTGACTGGTGCCCAAGGGCATGCGCAGCCGTAATGAAGGAAAGGCAGGTGAAACGCCGCCGTCTTAATCTTGTGGGGAGAGAAGAGGACACTCATCACCTCTTCGTTCCAGGTGAGAAATTTTTGACAAATTCATGAAGTAAAAATTGAAAAGTTTAAAAAAAAAAGGAACTTTGAATGATTATAAAAAACAAACTATTAAACTCATAACAAACCAGTGAATTTTTTAATCAATGAATTTCAGGCCAGTAACATCTTCTGGCATCCCCCATGCGGCCAACCTGTCGCTGCCTGTTCCGACAATTTCTCCACCTCCATCCAGCGAAGCCGGTCAAGCGGGTTAGTAGGCTTTAAATAAAATAGAAAATTAAAAAATGAAAAAAAAATTGAAATATGAAAATAAATTAAAAAATGAAAAAAAACAAAAAAATAAAAAAAATACAAAAAAATAAAAAAATAAAAATAAAAAAACCAAAAAAAATTAAAAAAAATAAAAAATGAATAAAAAAAAGAAAAAAGAAAAATAAAAAAAAAATAATCAAAACAAGTTTTTTTTCAACTAATATTGTTTATGAAAGCAGTTGAATTTTAAATTTGCTTAATGAAGTAGGAATTTGTAGAATTTTGGTAGACTAGTTTTAGATAATATAGAATTTTGGTTGCTAGTTTAGATAATATATACTATTACCCCTAGTTGGAATGATCAGAACTTGAAAAATGATTTTCATACCCCATCTCAAATTCAACTGCTTGTTTTTATTTTTGAGTTTTGGTAGCCCTTATTTGGGCAATTAACATTTGTTGAATGTTTTTCTTTAACTTTTTGCTTTTGTTAAATTTGTTTCTTTTTTTAATAATGCTACTTTTTTTTGTTGAAATTTAATGTTTTCATAATTTTTTTTGTTTTATAGTTAAGTTTATAATATTAATTTAGTGTTTGTTTTTTTTAACGGTTTTTTTTTTAAACTAAGATTTATTAATAGTTGTTAGTAATGTTGAAATAATTGTATTCAAAAAATGTGAATAAGAATCTAAATATAGGTATGTTAATATTTTTTGATAATTTTTTGATGATACTGTTTTCAAAATTTCAAATTTGTAAGGAAATTTTTGTTCTATTTAAATGCAATTTCCATTTTTATTTTCAATTTTGACATTATTTTATTTTCACCTTTTTTGTTTTTAAAATTTTTTCAAGTTGGTTGTTTTCCCGATGCTTATATTTACTTTTTACTGAACCTTCTTTTACTGATGGGGTACCAACTCGCGTTTTAGTTAAGTTTTTAATATTTCATGTTCAAATGTATTTTGAATATTTGACAACATTTTTGTTATGTAGTTGCAATTCAACTGATATTTAATATTTATTTAGTTTTATTTATAATATTTAATTTTTTTGCGCGCTTTTTTTACATGTGCTACGAGTTGGTACCCAATTTGGGATTTAGGTAGCCATTTATAGCTCGATACTTATTTTTTGGCACTAAAATTAATTGAAATTAAGCATAATTTTAAGCCAGGAACATTCTTTTAAGCTGAAATTTCAAATGTTTAAATTGTAGACTTATCTAGCTTTTTAGCCTTCTTGAATTCTCTTATTTTCATTTGTCAAATTCCAAATTTTCTAAATGAGTTATTAGATTTTTCAATTTTTAGTTCAATTTCCAAACATTAGAAAAACGAAGTTTTTTGTTTTAATTTCTTAATTTTTCAATAATGAAATTTTTGGATTTTTAGAATTTTTCTGAAATGCAAATTATCTTCGATTATTCTTACATTTTTAATTTTTTGTTGCTTTTTTTTAATTTCGATACTGTTTTCGTTTTTCACTTTCCAAATTATCCCACTCATTTTGGGCACTGGAATATTTTTGTATTTTTTTAACTCCTCTTTAAGTTCTTTACCAATTTTTGATTTTTCTTTTCCTCAATTCTTTTCCGGACTTTTTTGTTGCATATTTTCTAATACTACATTTTGTTAACTGCATGCTTTCTGCTAGCTCCATTTCCGTAAATTGATCTCATTTTTTGGCATATTTTATTTTTAAATCAAGTTGTAACTTTAAATAGCTCCTTTCTTGCATGTTTTTTGAATATTTAATTTCACTAACTGCATGTCTTTTAATAGCCTCACCTATTTCTCCGCAGCATTTTTGACTGATATTTAGTTAACTTCATATTTGCATGTATTTTATTATTTTCTAATTGCTGCATGTTGTTCGCTAATTTCACTTACATTTTCAAATTATATTTTGAATTGCTTGCATTAAATTAATTAATTCATTTCCCTTTTCCCTTACTTTTTCTGCATTTTTGAGTTGCCTTTACTAACCGCATGCTTTTGCTCGTTACTTACTATTAATGCATAAGTTTTATGTGATTTAACTAACTACACGATATTATTTCTTGATATTATTGCATGAATTTAATATGAGCTTTTTTTTGTTTTATTAACGTCGCGTGTATTTTACGTGATTTAATTAAGTGCATTTTACGTTTTTTTTTTCAACTAACCGCATGCTTTTGTTCGTTACTTACGGTTCATGAGATCATTTTAGTTTTTTTTAAGTAACTGCATGTTTTTGTTAGGCCTCTGTTTATTACTTACCGTTGCTGCATGTTTAACTAACTGCATACTTCTGTTTTTTTTTCTTTTCTTTTTTACTTATTAATATTGCATGAACACGGTCCGACTAACTGCATGTTTTTATTTATTATTATATTTATGCGTTACTAACTGCATGCTTTTTTATTGCTTATTGCTATCGCAAGTATTTACGCGATTTGATTAATTGCATGCTTTATTTGTTACTTATTTTTGATGAATTCATTTTATATGTTTAACTAATTGCATGCTATTGTTTCGTACTGTTATTGCATGAGTTTTATGTGATTTAACTAACTGCATGCTTTTGTTGGTTATTTATATTTATATATGTTATTTACATTTATATATGTATGATTGCATGTTTTTGTTTTGTTACTTATGCATGCTGCATGTTTAACTAACCGCATGCTTTGCATGCCTTTGTTAATACTTATATTGGTGCATGTACTAAATGCATGTTTTTCGTTTGCTATTTATCCATGTTGCATGTTTAACTGATTGCATGCTTTTATTCGTTATTTATTGTTCATCCGTTCTTTTACGTTTTTTTTTAATTAATTGCATGCCTTTGTTAAGTACTTATATTTATGCATGTACCAACTGCATGTTTTTGTTTGTTTGTTATTCATGCTGCATGTTTAACTAACTGCATGCTTTAATCCTACTTATTGCTACTGCATTTATTTTGTGTTGTTCAACTAACTGCATGCTTTTGGTTGGTATTTCTTATTGATGCATGAATTTTACGTGTTCAATTAACTGTATTTTCTTGTCTGTTACTTGTTCTTATTGCATGAATTTTACGTAGTTCAGTTGGCTCACCTTGTTTAAAATTAACTGTTCGTGTATTTCAGATTCAATTAGTTCATTTTACATTCAGGAAAGGAAGAAACGGAAATGTGCAGAATGCAAGAAGTCGGTGTGCATTTTCAGTTCGATCCATCGTTAGTTTACCACGAACTTTTCTGAGATTCCTGAGATTGCGCACATTCCTGCAACTATAAAAATTTTACTTAGGAACGATAACATTTAAAAGTTTATGAAAATCAATTAATGTTTTCAATATTGATATATACTGTCACTTTTAAATAAAACGACTTTCCCAAAAAATAACATAACAGATAACTGTCACACAACAAGTGTTTACTACCGATGGAAACGGACAAACTCACACAATCAACAATCAAACCAATCATTCATTACGACACGACAAACAAGCCAAACAGGTAGTAATCATTTATCTGGCTATCGTAAACTAAATTCTCTTCGATCTTTTATCTTAGCATGGAAAAGCTGTGAGTATTAGATAGGTTACTGAATTTTATGCACTTTCAATGCATGCTAACTGCTGACTACATGATGCACTCTCATGTTGCACTTATTTATGCAGTTTCAGTTTACATAATACATGCCAATACAAATAAATTCCATTAATAATTTTATTATTCATTGCAATATTTTTAAAAAATAATTTTTGTAGTCTTAATTTTTAGAAAATCTTTTACAGAAAACAAAACTATTCGTTAATAGTTGTATCTTTTTCATACATTTTATATCACACCAAGCATTTATGTAATTATGTGCTTTACTCGTAATACTCATCAGTTTTAATTTCTTAAGACAAATTTATATATGTAATTATTAAAACTGCGTGAGGAAAGTAAAGCTAAAAAAAAAAAAATTATTGGAAATTTAATTCTTACCATTAGAAATTGAATTTATAAAAATTTTTAATCAGTTTCGTTTTTTTTTTTTCAAATTTTCGTATCCATTTTATAGTCAATCAGCTATTGAAGAAAATTAGTACTTTGTTTTTATTTGAAAACCTTTTAAATTTATTTTTCAATGGGACACAAAATTAAGACTTGCTTCAAAGAATTTAGAGTGTCAAACTTCACCGAATGAAATCGACAAAATTTATAGAAAAAAAAGGCAAATAACGTTCACAAATTGAATTTATTATTATCATCAAAATTTTGCCAAACATAAGTAAATTTTTTTTTGAATAGTAAAAAGTTAAATTTTGCCAAATTTTATTCCTTAAAATTTGTCTTAAGAAATTAAAAAAAAAAAAAATTTCATAATTAATAGTTCATTCTAGAGCTATTAAGTTTAATTTTGCTGTTCAAATATTTAGTTCCATTCTAGAAAATTTCAAAAATCCTAATTTTTTCATTTGTATTTTCTGGTACAGTATATTAAGATTTTATCATACTTTTAAAAATAAAAATAAGTTTCAGGACGAGCACATTTTGTTTTTACAAAAATTACTAGTATTTTAATTTTTTGTTGATAAAGTGCGTTCTTACTTCTGGTCTTTAAGTATTGTTAATTAAGTATTTTTTCTGTATTTTTTTTTTAATTTATTTGTTTTTTTTTGTTCTTTAATTTTTGAACTTGATTTATTGCTAATTAAAACTTAGATTTTTATATGAAATTATCTTCTGCTATATTTTATGTCATTTAATATTATTAACATTTGGTTTTCAATATTTAAATAATATTAATAATAATAATAATAATAATAATAATAATAATAATAATAATAATAATAATAATTGCTTTTCAATACATAATATAATTTAATTTTCTCCACTCTTTCAAATGCTTCAGTAATCAATAATATGAGAAATAACAATATTAAT